TTGTGAGTAGTGTAAATCATGTCAAAATATTATTCGTAATATAAAATCATTCTCTTTATATTTCATCTGATTACGATCACCGTCAGACCACTTGTTGGCTGATGAATCTGTTGTGTGCAGATGTGAGGTTCCTCACTATCCTCTCCTCTATCTCCACCTCGTTCTTCACATCCTCCTCGGTGAGGATCAGCTCGGCCTGAGTCTCGGGGGTCACCACCACCACGTAGCCCCGTCTAGAGTCCAGCACGTTGGCCACCACCGCCTGGTGCCTGTAGGTGTCCAGAGCCCCTCTGGCCTTGTCCAGCAGGATGGTCGCGTCCGTCTCCAGCTTGAAGGACGTAACGAAAGCCTGAGGAGCCCATTCCTTCACCAGTGGGGACAGGATTTTGGGGACCATCTTCATACTGAGCTGAAGGGGAGAAAAGAAGGATAACTTTATAAAACCAAGTGCGCCTATCATGATGCCAACTTCCATTATTAATCTCAATCCATCATCTCTACACCTTAATCCTCACTAGGGTCATGGGGGGCGGAGTCTATCCCAGCTGACTCAGGGTGAAGGCAGGTTCACCTGGACAGGTGATCAGTCTATCACAGGGCTACACTTCTAGCTGCGAGGCGACGGTGCTAACCACTGAGCCACCTCGCAGCCCAACCCTATTATGCCAACTTATATTTCTTAATGCCCTCTCTCATCCCAGGGCCGGGAAATAGTTCCATCTCCACCATCGTTGAGGATTTTACAATCACTTAAATGCACCTTACGGAGACGAGGAGGCTTCTGGGAGGGGCTTAGAGCGTTTATTCTGCCTCTCACATCCTCACTGGAGAGCGCGACGACACGGTAGCATCATGAAGAAATAAAACAGAGCTCTATGTGAGGCTTTAGTTAGTACAGCATCGCTCAGAGCAGAGCCTGAACAACAGCATGCTGACGTCTTGTTGTCTGGTCAAACTGAATCGTGCATGTGCAGCAGCATTTACCAAACATCTAGTTAGTTACTCACCTGCAAGGGACCGTTGGAGGACTGGATCTTATGTTCGGGCATCTCGGACGCTGGGATGTAGAAATCAGACACAGCTGCAGCCAAGTAGAACATGGCCTTTGATCCTAGGAGCAGAACAAACATCTGAGAGCAGGTTTTCAACATGCGCCTCGGCCTGTAGATGACTGTTCATCTGTACCTATGGTGCTGAGAGCTTGTGCTGCTGCTTTGAGCAGATGCAGATATTCTGACAGAGTGCTGAACTCGATGGGAAGGAGAAGTCTGCCGTCTTTGACTTCGTTGTATCGCTTCAGCGTTTTGCCAATGTTTGGAAGCACCTGCTGGTTAACCACCACCTCCCCAGCGGTACCGGAGGCTCCGTCCTCGCCTCTGAACTGCAGGGCGTCCAGCATGTTGATGGTGAGGAACATGCGGGTGTAGGGGTAGAGGGAGCGGTGCCTGTGCAGGAAGATGACAGCGTAGCCCGAGTCCATGAAGTACTCTGCCGAGGCGGCTCCCCGTCTGCCGCTGCTGAAGTTGTCCAAGAAGCGAACGGTGCGGGACTCGAGGGGAACCTTGGTGCCTCCCGATGTGATGAGGACCACCCTGCGACCCGCTGCTGCGTGACACCCGGCGAAGGCAGCCATCTTCTCCTTGACCTCCTCGACGTGGGAGGGAACGGCAAACTCTTCGGCCAACTTCCCATCGATAGAAGATATTCTGGGTTCAGCCATGACCTGACGAGAGAGAGAGAGAGAGAGAGAGGAGAACCATCAAGAGACTGGATTCAGTATCAGAGAGTGACGGTCAGACGACAACGGCCTGAAGACTGGAGTTCTTATGAAAACTTTAAAATATACAAAACATTAAACAAAACCAGAATACATTAAAATTAACAGTTAGTGAGACATTAAAAAGGGCCATCATGAAACTTCAGAAAAGACAAAATCTACAAATGTCTTTACAGGTGAGTATTTTAGAAGTTTTTTTTTTTTTTTTGAGGCGCTAACTGGGCCTGAGGGGAGCCTCATCAAGAGCACTGGGACCAAACCAGTAAAAGCCCCTTTTCAGACTGGACTGTGGAATTTTTAAATGATTTTCTGATCCGAAGCTTTTAGGTTTCAGATTAAGAGGCTAAAACATGCAGAGCAGAGCCAGACCACACAGAGACACAGAAGTCATCAAGAGAATCCTAAATTAAATTCTGGCCTGAACGGGGAGCCTCAGTAACCCGGTCAGGACCACAGTGATGTGTTCTCTACAGAGAGTGGCTCACATGAACCTTCCCTTATAAACCAGTTGCACAATGACTGAAGGGGGATTTCTGAAGGCCGTGACAGTCACCTCTGATGAAGGACATGCAGCAGAACTCAGACACAGCAGCAGTCAAATCAAACAGCATTAAATTCTAACTGCAAATTAAACATTTGAGGGCAGTTTACCAGCAAAATAACTGTAGATATAAAAGGACATGGGCATTTACCAAACAGGAAGTGTCTAATGAGAGACTACTGCATTGTGGGAACTGTAGGATTCAGAGTTTTTGGAACTGAAATTACTCAAATTTGATTTCTAAAGGGCTGCACAGTGGTTCAGTGGTTAGCACCGTCGCCTCACAGCTAGAAGGTCGCCGGTTCGCGTCCCGGTGAGGACACCCAGGATCTTTCTGCGTGGAGTCTCCATGTTCTCCCCGTGCAGCATGGGTTCTCTCCGGGTTCTCCGGCTTCCTCCCACAGTCCACAAACATGCTGAGGTTAATTGGTGATTGATTGTCCGTAGGTGTGAATGTGAGTGTGCTTGGTTGTCTGTCTCTAAGTGTAGCCCTGTGATAGACTGGTTACCTGTCCAGGTGAACCTGCCTTCACCCTGAGTCAGCTGGGATAGACTCCAGCCCCCCATGACCCTGGTGAGGACTAAGCGGTGGATGGATGGATGGAAACAACACTACTTCAAATAAACATGACTGGAGTAATATTAACACACCTGAGTGTGTCTGTATATATCAGCCAATATGCACAAAGGGTCTCAGTAGAAACAGACAGCAGAGAGCAACCAGCTCATTTCTCTATTGTGTAAAAAACCTACAGAAAAACTGAATATATACTACAATATATGACTATAAACTACTAACTGGCTCAACGTGACTGACACTGATGCAATACAATAAACTCTGACAACAGTAACCACATCCTCCGAAACAGCTGCAAACTCTTTGATTAGCTTTTAAAGCACCTTAAGGTTTATTATATATTAGATTATAATATATATTCATATAAATACCGAAGCTCACAGCTGAACTCTTGACCTTAGTTATAATAGAAGCCTCTTTGTGGAAAGCAGACACGGTACAGAGAACCAGGACAACAGTAGAACTACCTCAGCTGGTGATTTGTTTCTGTGCAGAGTGCTCAGACAGGTGAGCAGCAGCGGACAGGTGACTTCTGCTGCTACACACCTGGATAAGCACCGGTTAACGTTACATGGTTGAAATAAACTCACAGATGAGACGCTCTGCTGCGGGTTCCGCTGGAGTTGAAGACCTCTAACAACAACTTCTGCACTTCCTGGAACCACTGAGCTCTTTGGTGTTTATGGAGGCAGCGGAGCGCCGTGAGCGCCCCCCGCGGCGGTCAGCGGTACTGCAGCCGACACACTGAGTCACATTGAAACGCGTCAGTTATTTTTCACTTTCATTTAAGGTGTCAGACTCTTTGAAGCATCAGCATCATCAGTAGGAACCAGGGAGGACATGGGGGATTTCTCTAGATTCCGGACAGTCCCAGTAATGAGTCAGCCCTGTGGGGACAGAGAGCAGCCTGATGATGACCTTCTGACTGTTTAAACGTTACAAAAGGTTACGAATGACTTCACTGAAAGCTCTTTCTCAAAAGATGCTCAAAAGCGACACAGGTCCACATTTTGACTCCTAATGCCTGGTGAGTTCAAACACAGTTTTACTTCTTAAAATGCAATTATTTGAAATCTGCAGCTACAAAATAAAACAACCTTTAAAATATCAGTAAGACTTGGTTTCTGTATTCTGTGCAAAATCCAACTACTTGAGATGATGTTTTATTGCAATAGGTCTTGTTTTGTGCAGGAATGATTCACCTGTAGGTCTCCTTGGCTGTCAGATTTGGATTTACAGAGAATATCAGAATGAATTTGAACTGATCTGAAAACAGACGTGATGCAAATCAGACATTTCTCTGCGTGTGTTTGTTTTAATGTATTCTTGATGTGAAGAACAAAATGTTCTTGTGATTTAATGAGGGGAAAAGTTGTTTTTCTAAATGGCATTGTTTGACAGGAGGTGTAGTCTACATGAGATTTAAGGAAATGGGTTAGAAATGTAGTTTTTAAAAATCCCTCATCGTTACAATCATTTCATCAGCAACGTGTTGGGAAGTTAGTGTCGGTAACTCCTGGATATAAACTCTAATTCCAGTCTTAAAGCAGCAGATTATACAGAAGTGTGCAGTCAGTTAATAGAACTGCAAAGGTTCTGATTAAAGATTATCGATCATTTGACTAGTGTTCATCAGCTGCAGTACCCGTGATTCACCCACAAGAGGCGCTGTTGCACCGCTGAACAGAAACCCTCCGTTTATGTGCATTGATCACTCTGATCAGTTTCAACGCATTTTCCTACATTCAAGCGAAACAGTCCCTTTATTACTGACAGAACAGCAGCTAAACAGGTCAGTGGAGAGTTTTTAATCATATTCACACACAGAGCAGCTCAGTTCTAGAAACTGTTTGCAATTGATGGAAAAAAAAGCACATGCAAAGAATGTCAAAGTTGCAAAAATACTACTGTATTTATATATGTAGCATCGAGATATAACGCTGTGAGTTATAGAATATTTGCTTTGGAGTTCATGTAAGATAGAAACACACAGAGCTGTGAGGGTTGTCTGTATTGATGTCCTTCCTTCTTTCTTTCTTTCCTTTTAATTCCAGGACCTTGTTTACCACCACATATACCACGCTGGTATTTTTCTTCCAACATATTGAAGCTCTCTCAGTGGAATGGAGGAGCCTACAGTTATTAGTAAAATCATATAAAACACATTTTAAAAGCTCGACAATAATCTACTACGAGAACAAAAACAACCAAATCCTTTATGCACATTTGCACACTTTTTACTTTATATGTCTAATTTATGAAAGTGAGAATAAAACATTATACAGCTTTATACCACATAAAAAGAAAAAAACACTTATTTCTCAAGAGGGATGAGAAGAAAATGAAGAAAAGGCCGTCGTAAACTCACCACTGAGTACAAGTGCTCCAGACACCACTGAGGACACTGATGTCACGTCCTTGGCTATTTCTCTCTTAGAATTTAATAAGTAAGACACGCTGGAATTTTAAAGGGCAATACATTTTTTTTTAATAGTCACTTTATTTGAATGGAACAATTTTTAGGCCAAGTTAATATATTTAAAATTATAAGAATGAATGAAGGAGATCAGTATTTCCTTTTGTGTAGAGGAGCACGCTGATGCACTGGATGTGATTAAATAAATGATTAGAGACTTATTTTTAGGTCTCTTTTTAAAAGTACATAATTAAAATTGTGCAATATCCTTGTAAGTAGCAGAGCATGCAATCTGTCATTTGTGGGGTCAAAAACAAAAGAGTTTCAGCACAGAATTTAAAGCCTCCCCTTCATATTTTAATTATACAGCAGAATCTCTGATGTGTTTTCTTGGGCTCCTGGCTCTTTGTTTTCTTGCAGGTACGATCACACACCTTTTACACTGGGTTGAAACTCATCCCTTTATTAATGATGAATAAATAATTGACTTTACACATCAGCCATTAATAAGAACAACTTGTGGGTTTCCAGCTTGTTAAATTTTAATCTGGAAGGTGTTTCTTGTGCAGCTTTAATTCAGCAGAGAGACCACTTACCTTCTGGAATAATCTGCTGGAAATTTTGGAGCCAAAAATCCATTTATTAGCAGCTTATTAATATTTAGATTAACTGCAGACTCATTAGAAAGTGTGGACTCCACCAGAAACTGAAATATTACCGTAAAGAAGGGATGCACACAGTCAGTGCATCTGGCACAGAGCTGCTCTCTGCTTGTAATTGATGTGTGAAGTGTTTCTAAATGATTTATTACCCTTTAAAAAAAACACGGTAATAAAAGTCATTAATTACAGCTTATAAACCTCGTATAAAATATGACTGATCAGACGGCGGGGCCCACGTGGACTGGACCGTTTTCTACTTTTTTTCTGCTTTGATTTCATTGTGTTCTTCCAGTTCTTTAATTATTAGGCTGTGTCTTACCTTTGAAGGCACTTTGACTCACATCCACTCACAGCGCTCTCTAAATAAAGCAGTTTCATCGATCAGGCCTATTGATTGATGTGCGTGCGTGTGTGGGTGCAGTTTTCACCGCGGGCGTGTGCGTTTGACCGCGCTCTAGTTTCTGTGGCGGCAGGGGAAGCGAGCGACGGGGAGCGAGAGAGAGAGCGAGAGAGAAAAAAAACCCTCTTCATGTGCGCCGCGTCCTATGTGAAAGTAGTTCCGGGCACTTAACCCAAACGGGGGAGAGTCCCGGATGTTGGCTCGGCCGCCGAGAGAAAGGCGAACGGGAGAAGGCGGAGAGAAGCTGAGGAGGGACGCCACGGCACCGCAGGCACACCGGCGAAGCTACGGCTACGGCGGCTCCTCGCACAGGACGATAACGTCAAGAGCAAAGGACACTCCCGGGAGGGGGACCCGCTATCCGAAGAAGAGGCGGTGGAAGGACGGGGAGGCAGTTACTCTGAAACTACAGTGAGGATTACAGAGAGCCACCGTCACGGCAGCTTTCACCCAGAGTAAGTGAGCTACACGGGCATGGAAGTTGAACTAAGGCCCACGAAATGGACGACTTTAACGGGGAAGTGAGCTGCACCGAAGTTGTGGGGATTGAGCCCGGCGAACAGGCCCTGGCACACGGCTCTCGGCTCGCCGTGGCGGGGCGTGCGGGGACAGCTTTTTTTTTCTCTCTCTCCCGGAGAGCCCGTCGGTGTTTCCCCCCGTGGTCAGCGTCCGCACGGCCGGCCGTGTTGCCGTAACTCTCCCAAGTTGACAGCTCCTGCGTTAGCCTGCTAGCAGCGCCGTGCAACCGGTGACAACTGACAGGGCAACTTTGACAGCTAGCTAGCCAGTTTGGGTAGCCAGCTAACTTTAGCTGAGCGTTGTCGGCGCTGTCTCCAGGGCCAGGGCTAGGTGTGCGTGTCTGTGTGTTTTCCTCGCGGGGGAATGACCTACCCCAGCCCCTCCGACAGCCACCGTTAGCTAGCCCCTCCGCCAGACGCTGTGTGTCCGGCGTGGAGTGAGTGTGCGAGCCCGGCGGTGTCATTCTCCGGCGTGCTCTTTGACTCACAGCTGTTGCGGTGTGTTTTCTCGTCTGTCAATCGTGTGTTTCTCAGGCGGCTGGTGGATTCCTCCACAAAATCACCGTCCCCGCATGTGAAACTAGTCCGCGGGGCGCTGGGTCGTCATGTGGCCGGACGATCAACAAGTGCAGAACATGTTCCAGGTGCATTTGAAGGCGCTGATATGGATCTCCAGACCGGTGGCTGGGGACTGTCCTGAGATGGCACAGGCGGCGTTGCGGCTAAACGCAGGTCCTGTGTGCGGAGGCATTTCTCCGGGCAGGTTTTCATCGCTTTGATGTCTCACTAGTTGGCTTGCGAGCTCACACACCGATTAGTTAACGCTGCGACTTTAAACCCAACAGCTGTGGCATTTGCGTGCAGCTGTACACAAAACGGCGTCCTTGCTTCCTCCTGACGGCCTTTTATTAGAGGATGGATGGCTGAACTCTTAATCGGCCCCGCTGTCAACTTGTGCAGGTTTTATCAATGAAGGGCGCAGGCTGCTGTTTAATGATCTACTGGCAACGACGTGCAAATTATTAGCTCATCATCGCATGCCCTCTTGCTCAATTTATTTTTGCCGTAAAAAGGTTGAATTTATGACTAAAACCAAACATTATAAATTGCCCCCCAGCCCCGCCAGACCTTCTGCTTCAGCTAGCAAAATGCCCACAGCGTTAGTCAGCACCCACAATCAAAGGTCAGACCTGGTTTGCTTCTTAATCACCCATCCTTTAAATAGCAGGCCTACAGAGCTGTCCGGATCCAGGCTATCTGTGCATGCAGCTGGACAAAACACACACACACACAAGTTCTGGTGCTGCCCATCCAGGTAAGCAGAGCCAGATCCGTTTCAGTCAAGAGATGAATATTTGTCACATAATCTTTCTCCTTGCATTTCAAGAGATGATGCTAAAAAGGAAACTCTACCTGAATTGGCTGTTAATGTGAAAAGACATCTCAGCTTGTGCACTGCTTTGGTTCTTGTGTCATTTAATTCAAGGAACTTTATTTGTCATGCCAGCTCACATTCACATGTTTGTGGTATTAGTTCTCATGTCCTTGATTTTGAAAGAAAAAAAAAAGACTAATAAATAATAATAAAAACAGGAGCAATATATAAGTAGAAATACAGCAAAGAGCAGAAAGCCCAAAGTAGGTGTGTGTAGCAGCGAGGTAGATGTAATCTCGCACCTGGTTGGTTTAAATTCATTCATGCCTTCGCTGAACTTTTTACAAAAGTGTTGTTTTTATAACCGACGTCATCGAAGCGACTGTATGAAAACAGCAGTGGAATAATTGGCAAAGACGATGACATTTTGCTGCTGTTTGCTGGCTCCAGGAAGAACCCAACCAGAGTACAGTTAATGTGTGCTTTTTACAGATAGCTGGCAAAAGTATGAATCATAGCATCATAAAATGTGTTCCTCTAAAAAAGAAATACAGTATAGTCCATTTAATTCAGATTATAAGGATTATTAATTTCTGAATAATGTTGTGCAGACTTGAGGGCGCCTGCATTCAGGCTGTTCATAAGACAACAATACTTTATTTTCTATTTTGCACCATATTGATCAGACTTTTATTTGTTCTGCTTTAATGAATGGACTGAATAGTTTGGAAGTAAAGTATGGAGACGGTTACACGTTTGTTTATTCTAACCATAGGAGGATGGGATTCTTTTAATTGTTGGTTTTAGCCCGTAGTTGTCTTTGAGAAGTCTATTGCCTAATGGTTTAAAACACCTACTTGTCCATGGTCTTCAGGTGTTCGGCTTGTGTGTGTGTGAGATGCCAAAAACACAATCATCTCTGGAGAAACATCACTTTGGCATCACCTGCAGAAGACTATAGGGAAACTAGAGTGAATGTAAATAAATCCAACTGGGCTGTGATGGTGTAATTCAACAGATTAGATAGATTAAAGTCCTGGTGTGGGTCTGATCTCGATAATATGTGAGGGGTCAGAGAGCCGGTATAGTAGAGAGAACTCAGAATGGGTTTCCACTCTTTCAATGCGGACTCCTCATTTGGAATTCAGTGTGTGGCCCGGTGCCTTGCCGGTCTCACTGAGAGGGCTTTTTAATTTCTCCCCTTGTTGAAGTGATTATTCAAATGGCCATCCATGAGGTGCAGTTATCAGACTCCTGGTGGTAGTTGAGCCTGTGGCAAAATGAGCCCCCACCACCAGCACCACCGCCGCCGCCCCCCTGTGTAGTTGGACAGCACCCAACAGGTACCCTCTGTTGCAACCCCTATTAGGCCGCCACATCTCAGCCCTCAGGCTGGAGACCTATTGTGTTATGCGATTGGCAGATGGCAATTTATCCGTGATGACTGCTGATGCTGCCGGTCAAAGGCCTCCGTTTAGGATTTTTTACGATAACTTATTTTTGGTCCGGATCCAAAGTGGGCTTGTTTCAGTCTCTGTGCTCTGGAATGTGGAGTTATTTTAGTGTTTTCTCCTCACTTCGGCGCCCATCATCTTGTCCTTCAGTGAGTTTTTCTCCTTGGATGGATGAGGAGGAAAAAAAAAACCCCAGTATCCTCCTTTTCAGCAGCTGTTTACTCTGCGTGGAGGCCGGGCTGTCCTGTAACGCGCCTCACACCAAATGACCGGACACTTTTGTTAGAAATTTCTCCCGTGCTCGTGCTCATATGAAGTTCTGCTCTCATGGAAGCCGTGTTGGCGAGAAGGGACCAGCTCAGTCTTCATTAGCGACGCCGTGCATCACTAGAATGCAGATGAGCTATGAAGCCATTCATCTGCTGGAAATGCCTCCCTGATTCCAATTTGAATCTTGTTTGCAGTCGCATTGTGTGAGCCCACTTCTCCATGTTAAAGAAGTCTCTTTATGTGAGAGATCAGAGGGGGATAATTGCACTTAAGTGAACCTCATTTAGTGCTGGCCAGAGCAATTACTGTAACTGCAGTTCTAGGCGTTTTTGGGGCCTGGAGCAGCTGTCATCGAGTCTCTGTAGCTGAGATATCAAATGGTGAATAGAATGGCATTGGCATGGCATCATGGGAATGGCATATCCTTGGATGGATTTTAATTAGTTTTTGCAGGTTTTTTTTGCTCAGATCTTTTTTTTTTTTTTCTTCCATCCGAAGAAAAGTGTAATTAAAAATGACAATTAGAAATGCATTATTTTAGTAATGATTGAAAATAAATTATTCTCAAGGTGCTGTAAGGTGAAAGAAGCCAGCGATGTTTCTTCAGGCGAAACCCCCTGGGCTGGAGGGAGATGTTTTATCATTAATGTTATTCAGGAGCCAAATTTTGAGTTTTGCTCAGCTGGGTGCTTTAATCTATTTTTGCTGTAAATTAATGAATTTTTAAAGAGCCCCTCGCTGGATACGGGTGGATGTGGGAATGCAGCGCTGGTTGGGTTTTCAAACGAGCCTCTACTCCACCGTCACCCCCCCACCACCACCAACCCCTACACCACCCACCCCCCCCTCCTCACGGGATGGAGAGAGCGAATTTACTGAAGCACTACACTTTCATTTTTTATTCATCCAGCAATACACTGTCTAGTTTTCCTCATCCCACCACCACCAGCACCACCTCCCAGCCTATTGAGTGGAATTTGTCAGTGAACTAGTCCTGTATGCTTTAATTCATGTCCTGGCTTGGAGCTGGATGTAGACATGAATCAGTGTTTAATTCAGCTGGCTCGTTGCCTAATATTATCGGCACATTTGCTCAGAAACGCGCTTTATCAGAAAGTGTTTATCCGTTTATTTTCCCGGTCTGACTAATCAGGGACTATCTCTCTACAGGGGAACTACTGTAACTACCCACACTGGAGCTGGCTGGGTAAGTTTAGAAAGTGTAGGAGAACAGGGTGGGGTGGGGGGTTGGCGTCTCCTGCAGTGCACGGTGGTTTCTGTGACTCATGCAGGCCTCGTGGTTGCAAAAAAAGACTAATAAATTTTGAAGCGGTCCTGTTATAAGTGCAAGTTTGATCTTATCTTTTTTATTAAGTTCAAATTTAGGAGTTGGAAGAGACGTGTGGACACGAGTGTTTATGTAGAAACAGCATGAGGTGGCTGCAGCGACACAATCAGCTTAATGAACACCAAATCTCCGAGTAAACGTATGTAGTAGGTGTGAGATTTTACTTACACGGGTGCTAATGAGCAGCCAAATCCTAAATGAGTACGACTGATGTGAATTTTCAATGCCTGGATGGATTTAATAATTCATCATACTGTATGCTTTGTCCTTGAGTTGTGATAGGCCCTCGGTATCGGTGTAAGTGTTTTTTGTTCTTTGCTCAGTAGAAGGAGTTGATATGCTTATATGATTCACGCTCTTAGGAGACCTTCGTGCTGTGTGCAGCAGGAAGCAGAGCTTGCTAAGCTGACACAGCTTAAGTCATAAGAGTGGAGCTTTCATTATAGTATTTGGTGTCTGTTTTAATCATTACAGCGGCTCCTGTGGCAGA